ACTGACAGGTCCATGACAGTGATGTGGAGCACCCCGATGTCACCCAACGGAGAGATCGAGCAGTACATCGTGACTGTGAAACACCTCCCATACCTGGACGACTCGGCACCTTCCTCTTGTTCCCATGGTGAGGTTCTTCAGGTTCTTGAGGTTCTTGAGGTTCTTCAGGTTCTTGTGGTTCTTGAGGTTTTTTGGTTCTTGAGGTTCTTGAGGTTCTTGAGGTTCTTTTGGTTCTTGAGGTTCTTGTTCTGTGTTTCTGATTAGGTCTTCCTGATTGGGGGATTGGGGGTCGTTCCTTTTTCTCTCTCTCTCTCCTTTTTTCTTTGTGTGTTTCTGTCTCTCTGGTTGCTTGTCTGTCTTTCTGTTTGTATCTCTTTTTTTCTGTCTGTCTGTCTGTATCTCTCTCTCTCTCTTTCTCATTCTTTTTCTCTCTTTCTCATTCTCGTTCTCTCTCTCTCTCTCTCATTTTCTCTCTTTCTCCCATTCTCTCTCTATCTATCTCTCTCTCTCTCTCTCTCTCTCTCTCTCTCTCTCTCTCTCTCTCTCTCTCTCTCTCTCTCTCTCTCTCTCTCTCTCTCTCTCTCTCTCTCTCTCTCTCTCTCTCTCTCTCTCTCTCTCTGTTTCTGTCTTTCTGACTGCCTCTATCTATGTATCTCTTAATCTGTCTGTCTATATATATACATTGTATGTTTTTTTTTTCTACCATTTTTAACGCGGTGGAGTGATTTGCCATTCATGTATACAGACGCATACAGATACATGTAGGTCATTAAATCTCGGAAACACAGATATCTTAACATCAGTATCATTTGACAGTTCTTCCTTATTTCCCACAGACGAAAATGCAATGAGACCGCCGAAACTGCCCATTGAAGAGGTGAGTGGAGCCGCCTTGGTATTTTTAATTCTCGCTTTGCTGTTTCAGTGTATGAAAATTTATGAAGTTTGTGTCGAGTGTGGTGGTTGGAAGTGTGTGTGTGTGTGTGTGTGTGTGTGTGTGTGTGTGTGTGTGTGTGTGTGTGTGTGTGTGTGTGTGTGTGTGTGTGTGTGTGTGTGTGTGTGTGTGTGTTGTGTGTGTGTGTGTGAGAGAGAGAGAGAGAGAGAGAGAGAGAGAGAGAGAGAGAGAGAGAGAGAGAGAGAGAGAGAGAGAGAGTGGTACGTAATATGAATTCTAGCAGTTGCTGTTAATTGCATGGCTTGTTTAATTTCGTTCTGTGTTAGTTTGTTTGATTTTTGCAACCTCTTTAGATAAGCAGAAGTTACATTCCATTTGTAATTATTATAGATTGACAGTTAGCTAGATATACGTAGATAGATGGATATGTGTATGCCTATGTGTGTTTTGTTTGTATGTATGTGTGATGTATATATGTAAGTATTTATGTATGTGTGTTTGTGTTTGTATGTATGTGTGTGTGTATGTATATATGTAAGTATTTATGTATGTGTGTTTGTGTTTGTATGTATGTGTGTGTGTATGTATATATGTAAGTATTTATGTATGTATGTATGTGTGTGTATGTATATATGTAGTATTTATGTATATGTATGTGTATGTGTGTTGTGTATTTATGTATGTGTGTATGTATGTGTGTGTGTATGTATATATGTAAGTATTTATGTATGTGTGTTTGTGTTTGTATGTATGTGTGTGTGTATGTATATATGTAAGTATTTATGCATGTGTGTTTGTGTTTGTATGTATATGTGTGTGTATGTATATATGTAAGTATTTATGTATGTGTGTTTGTGTTTGTATGTATGTGTGTATGTATGTATGCGTGCGTGTGTGTGTATGTATGTATGTATGCGCGCGTGTGTGTGTATGTATGTATGTATATATTATATATATATTATATATATATATATATATATATATATATATATGTATGTATTTCCGTATGTATATATCTATGTATGTATTTCCGTATGTATATGTCTATGTATGTACGTATGCATGTATATGTGCGTGCATTTGTATGTGTGCAAATGCCTTTACCACGACTTACACCATTTACCCACTCCCCCCCAGACGCCTCGCCCCCCACGGAGGCCCCCAGCACCGAGTTCCCCCGCACCAAGTGGCAGGTGGGGGGGGCGGCCGCAGCAGGGGCGCAGCAGGGGGGGCAGCGGGGGGCGAGTGCTGCGCGTGTCCCGAGAGCAGGAGGGAGGAGCGCCAGCAGGAGATCGACTTCGAGGACGAGCTCTATGGCCTGGTTTACAAGTGAGTTTGTTGTTGTTGTTGTTTTTTTTTTTGGGGGGTGGGGGTGGGGTGGGAGGGATGTGGTTTACAAGTGTTTTTTTTTTTTGGGGGGGGGATGGGGGGGGGATGTGGTTTACAAGTGAGTTCGTTGTTGAGTTTTTTTTGGGGGAGAGTGGGGGTAGGGGGGGTGTTGTTTTTGTTGATTTTTTTTCTTGATGTTTGTTGATAGTTTTGTTAGATTTTTGTTTGTTTGTTTGTTTTTTGCTGTTTGTTGATTTATTTTTGTTGTTTGTTGAT